CCAGAAGCTCAAAATTCGAGACATGCCTAATTTCCCGGACTCATCTCTGGCACCGTCAAGTTCCCCATAGAGTCAATATATTAAACAGTCTGATATTTCGGACTTTTTACCACTAACTGAAGACTTGAAGTCACCATCAACGCCGCTAGTTCGGTTGTGTTTGTAGCTTCAAACCTACCATCCTCTCATCGCTCATGCACCGCATCAGGACTGCCGTGCCCTCAAAACTGCAAATGACGCAATTTGGCGAACGTCAATCCACTGCCAGCTGTGGCTTAGTCAAACCTGTGGTCAATCCTTACTGTGTTTGTTCACATGTTGCTCTGTAAGCTCTGCAGCAGATTGTGTACTGCTCTAGCAGTTTGGCGCTGCACTTTTTGTCAAGCGAATTCGCCGAGACAGCCGTTGCCGCCAGAGTGAACAGCGTGCGTGATGAATTTCCGTCCACGGACGTTGCCTTCAACAATCTCCGCACTGCTGGCATTTTGATTCCAGCCAGGATAACTTTTAGAGTGCTTCGCCAACAAAAACCACGAGCTCTACCGGAATTGACCGATGACAAAATCATCTGTCAAGTCAAGGAGGATTCCGATGACTCCGACGCCGAGATCGAAGAGGCAGCGCCTACACGGCTAACGAGCCCGGAGTGGATGCAAGCACTGATGACACTGTCATCGGTGTACAAGGACGGCATGACCTTAGCTGAAATTAAGTCAGACATCACGAGCAAATGGAACGCCTTGCAAAAGAAGGTAAGCAGCTTTTTGGGCCAAAGCCTTGACCAATCAGATAGTGCCGACCACGTCGGATTTTTATTTATTATATTTTTCAATAAACGGCTCTTTTAGAGCCACCTAAACCCTGCACTCACTGAACAGTGACAAGAATAATTTACTCCTAACGTGACCCCTCTGTCCGTGAAAAATAGCTGTAAGAAAAGGTGCAGTTTGGCGTGCATTCGTTTTCCGGACATTTTTGTGGTCCCTTATGGGTCCCGATAATCAGACATCAACTGTACGAAAACATTTATTCACAAAGCCCTCAATAGGAGAAAAAAAAGATGGAGGAAATGTGACACCAACGGCCTGTGGTTGATTCCCTAAATCACAGGCGCCAGCGAAGCAATAGCCCGTATACTAACAAGGCCAACATATTCATGACACGGCCTTAACTAACCGCTGTAAGGTTACTTACAAAATGAAAAGAAAAGTGTAATTTAATTGAAGTGAGTTTATTTTGCAACAAGGTTGCGAGGAGACAAAGCAAAAAAAGCTGCATTCAGCAGCTTGAGGGGAATCTGACCACCTCATACACTGAGTAGTTATAGCAGTTGAAACAGATGCATAATGAATGTAACAGTAAAAACAGTTAAGAAATACGGTAAAGAAAAATAAACAAGGGTATTCTGTAAACGTTTGGAAAACCCAGAAAAAAAAGTAGCTGTAATAATGAAGACAGCAAAAAAATAAAGAAAAAGATGAACCTATAGCAGTGCATGCAATAACACCAATATGTCACGTAGGCTTTCTAGCCGCAGAGTAGTTATATCGAGAACATTGTCTTTGTGTAATTGATTTAAATAGTCTATAAATAAAACCGTAGCATTTGGTCACCATGTATAGTCCTGTTTTTGTTGACAATTCAAGCTTCTAAAAGACGAAATTTATAAAAATAATTATGTTGCTGTAAGGATGCCAGTTGTACTAAAGAGTTATCATTCTTAATTTTTCCCATTCTGTACATGTGACAAAGCCTACATGTGTTAAAACATGAAATTTTTATAATACTAAGCTTTGTGAATAAAGGAGCAGTATGCCAAAGATATGGCTCTTTATTGTAGTACCATCAGGCAGTGAATGTTTTCGGCTGTATTCGTCCCCTAGATTAGAATGCCGTATTGAACCATAGAAAGAAACGTTGAATTGCAGCCGGACCCCTTTATAAGAGACACTGATATAAGAAACAAATGGGTATAAGAGACACTGGTGTGTTTACACTGAAATACTGGTTAATGAGAAAATGCATATGAGGTACCCTGCATGGTTAAAAGGGACAAGAACTGCTGCCCAGAGCATGCCTTTTATAAAGAGGTTTAACTTTTATAAAATCTTATTAATGAATGTAGAAAAATATTGAGAATGGCAATGCATAGTGCGTATTGCTCTAAGTAATTTACCAAGTGATTCACCTGGCAATTCCATAACATAGTTTTCGAAAGATATACACCAAGTGACTTGAAAACCAGTAATATTTCTATTCCAGTATTTCAACCATGCTTATTACACGGATGAAACATTACTGCCTTTGTTTTTCCTACATTATTCTTTAGCATGGTGCAAGATACAAACACTTTAGGAGAGGGCACTCGCGATGCGCGTCCATCGGAACACTGCCGGCAGCGTGCCCATCGGCGAGTAGACGCAACTTGAAGAAAGAAGAGGCATTGCTATAACAGCCTGTCCTTCGCAAGAAATTTGAATTAAATGGCACAGGAGCATTGTTCGGGCAAGAGAGTGAAAATTAATTACTATTGTATGCAAGATTGACGGGGGCTTGAGTCACGTGGAGAGCACTGTCTACATGCCTCTCTATGGAACACAAGCCAATATTTGAGTGGTTCTCGCACGTCCTGTGAACATAATACTGCCTGAGGCGTAATAGATACGCACATAACTGACATGCTTTCCAAAATTTAGTATCAGGCAGTATATATATGCGCTAGTTTTCGTGCACTCGCTGATGGTAGGTGGGGCACTCATATCGGCAAGCTGGATCTGCGAAGCGCGCGAACGGCGTGGGGGAACGCACATGCTTTTGATGACGAGCAAAGCAGAACTTGAATAAGACCACTTGACTGCTTGTGAAAAGAGAAGCAACCACTTCGATACCTTGACCAATTTGTTGGCCGTTTTGAGCAAAAAATTATGTAAGAAAGTCAAACACCTTTGAAAAATCAAGGAAAGTACCAAGCCCCATTTTATTTTCTGAAATTTTTGTAATATAAGCTCCTTTTTGGTCATAAGCGCTATTTCAGTTGACCTGTTTTTACGAAAACAAAATTGTGCAGTACTTCTAATATTAAAGATACCGTTCGTTGTTGCACCAAATTTGATTTTCGAGCTCTAATGATAACTATACGGTGAAAAGTTCATGACTGTGTGATTGCCCGCTGGGAAACAAGTTTACGGGGGACCCTGTGCATATCTTCTGGCTGATTTCACCATCCCTTCTTACTGTGCACTTAAAGATGATTACAATATTTTTTTTTCCCATTGAACACTCGGCAAACCTTTTTATGAATGCCAGTGGAAACTTTCTCACAAAAAGCAGTGAATGTACAACGTGATACAGTGACAAAAAAAAAATATCACTACACCTGTAACCGAGAAAACACTATTTATTGCATTGTATCATTGCGTTGCATAAACATAAAACAAAAGTTCGTCCAGCAAAAATTATGCATTCACATTCACGACAAAACATCTCATCTTTGAAGTGCTTGCTGCAGACTGCATCATTTGTGCTGAGTGAACGGTCCTTTCTGGCAAAAGCTTGAGTGCATGCTTTGAGGCGTTCCGAATCAGACGGAACATTGGATAATATTACATTTTCTTGGCACATAGAGTAACCTGACTGGTAACCACTAACGAAGCACTTTCTTCCCATATTCACTTACTGTGTGGACGTTTTCTTTATGGCTGCTCACCACATCACAAGTTCATTTCGTAAACGGGAATGATAAAACGCCACTTGTCACTTCATGAAACTCGCCAAAGGCACGCTAGCGACTGAAGCGGCTGAATGACTTGTTTTTGTGAGTGGAAAACGTGACTTTTTCGGAACGCCGGCATTGCCACCAGCCTTACCGGTTGCTGTAACAACGGTGCGTGAAATTTTTTTTCTATTTTTAAGTTGTGCTGGCTTGCCAATAGTTGTGCTGCCGGCAGCGTTCCGACGGACTCGCATCTCTGTTACTCTGGTTGATCGCGTCACATAAAAAAGCCGAGAAGTGTCCCCACCTAAAGTGCTGGTATCTTACACAGTGATCTTGAGATAATTACTTGTGGCTCACCTGTGTATATTTGCGAGCGAGCGTATTATTGGCTTGATTTGACATTTCAGAACCTGAGTCACCCTCAAAAAACATGCTTGTATCGTCTCCATAAATTACCCACTTAGCCAACGGGTGAACAATTATCATGTCATTGATGCACAATATGAAGAAAAACAGACCCGATATGCTTCCCTAGGGACACCTGTTTTCACAGATTTCAACTCCGAATGGTTCCCGGCTATAGCTACGACCTGGCGTCTGTCTTGAAGGTAGGATGTAATTAGAGAATGAGCCATGCCACAAATACCATAGTAATCACGTTTTTTAAGCAAAATATTATGACTCATAAGGTCAAACACCTTTGAAAAATCAAGAAAAGTACCAAGCACAATTTCATTTTCCTCCAATTTTTGTTTGCACAATTCGGTTTTTACGAAAACCAAATTGCGCAGTACTTCTGATATTAAAGTAGCCAGTAAACAAACAAAACAGCGCCGATATCACTTTCTTTAAACCTTTAGAAAAAAAAACAAGCAGCAATGATACAGGGTGGTAATCTGAAATAAATATTCTTGTCCCTTTTTTTTTAAATATTACTGCGACCTTTGCCATCTGTGTGCTTCGAGAGAAAATGCCTGTTGACAAACAAAGATTCAGGGTGTCTACCAATTACATTTTTCCAAATTCCCTGACTTTTCCAGGTTTTCCATGACCATTTCAAGCAAATTCCATGACCGGTACGTCTGCTTGGAAGAAACTGCGCACTGGAAAACAAACTCCTGAGCGGTAAAAAGAAATTATGAGGCGCTCATATAAAATGGAAACCATGCTGCTTTATTGCATTCCCTTGTCTGAAAGCATTTTTTACAATAAATAAAATATTCAAAGACACAATAATTGTCCCTCGACAAACAGAAAAGCTTGTTTACTTGCATCGGCAATGCCTTCACTGTTTCAAGGATTCAATCTCTTGCTGCAGCATGGAGACCTGAAGCTGTGCGTCTTCCATCAGTTTTTGCTTCTTTGATTCAAGCTCTTTCACAAGAGCCGCAGTCCTCTTCTTTTTCCTTTCAGCATCCAATACGTCCAACCGTTCCTTCTTTTTCCTCTCCAGGTCTTCCTTCCACTTGATGTTGGAACTTCGAACCATGTCTATCATCTTGTCTGTTACGTCAACTTCTGCAACACCACCTGCTGCAGACACCTCATCGTACACTAACCTTTGTGCTACAAGTGACTCCTCCTTCATATTTTCCACAAGACATTCCTTGTTCACTGAAAATCCCCGCTCCACGGAAGAATTTCCATGTGAAAGGCACAGCACAATCTTCACAAACAGCAGTAGCTCTTCATGAGAACTTGCACAGAGTTCCACCCACAGCTTCTCCAAGCGCTCTCTTGCACGATCAAATTTTCGCAAACGCACTTGTGCAGTGCTGTTCGAGCACACTTGTACATATGATCTACTTGCTCTCTCTCCTTGTAGGCCTGTAAGGCGCCCATGCTCTATAAGTACTTCAAGTGCAATGTTTAGCTGCTTCTGGCCAGCTTCCACAGAAGCGGCACAAACTACTGGGTTTAAGCAACTGGCCCCCCTTGTCAGCTTGTATTTCAGAGGTGATCTTTCGATTATCTTTGCTGAACAGGCCTTAATAAATAAGATGCATTCTTTTTTGACACTTACCACCGCAGTGTGAGATGGTTTAGTGATCTTTCGCAACTCACTTTTGGCGGCAAGGCCTATGTCAAAGGCAGCTATACCAATGATGTTGTTTGGGTTCTCCAGATCAATTTTTATCAGTTTTGAAAACGTGCCTGCAGCATCCAGCTTTTCCTTTAGCACGATTCGTCCCAGCAGTGACCGCAACAGGCCGTCCAGTGCTGTTGCAAGAAAAGGTAGCATCGGCTTTTCTGTCTGAAACTCAGCCCAATATGGCTCCAATTCTTCTGAAACTGAAAGCATAAAGGCCAGCTTTACTGGCAGCATCTCGTCTTTCACAGCCGTCTCGACATGAGCATAGCTGCCACACGCTGGAAGTTTCTTTTCTTTCTTGACATGCTCAACATATTTGACCACATTTGGGAGGACTTGCAGTGCCCTAGCAAGAGCCTTGCCATTTTCCAGCCAGCGCACTGAGCAAAACTTTAGCGGAAACAGTATGCTCCTTGTGAAATTGACATAGTCCGCTCGGCGTGCAGGGACCTTTTTGAACAAATTGTACAAGCTTCTAAGAAACACTACTGTGTTCCACTTTGTCACATTGTGGCCTGTTTTAAATGCACCACTCACAACGTGCAGTCCGCAGCTTCCAATGTCCACAATATTCTGATTTCCATCAGACGCAGAAAACTCTTGCTTCAACGACTTCAACAACTTCAAATTGACGTTTGGACCATCCATCGAAAGTTGAAGTATTTTTGCCGGCTCAATGTTCTCAGTGGCCTTTTTGAAAGCGGCAGCTAAATCTTCTGCGCGAGTGTGTCCTAAAAAACAGGACGTCAGGTAGCGGGTTTTGACAACGTCGTCAGCTGGGTCCCAAAACCTGATCAAAACGTCCATTTGCTCTTTCTGAGCAATTTTGTTCAGGGACTCGTCAAAAGCCACGACCACGTGTGGGACACTATGCAGCTTTGATAGCAGCCTGTTTCGGAAGTACGGGGCTATACCGTAACAAATCGTATAGCCAACTCTGTCCTTACCAAGTTGCAACTTGTTCGCGACGTCGCACGTGGGGAACATGATGGGAAAAAGCGCCGCTGACGCTGCTGCTGAACGAAACGATCCATGGGTCGCTATAGTGTTCAGACACCAAACAACTTCTGCTTTCGCGACACATTTTTTGACCAGAAACCAATTTAAGGATGCCTTCCCGTCAGGCGCGACGGCCACCGGTTTAGCAGGCACGCTTTCAGCACTCGTGCTTGGCACAGTCGATACACATTCACTCGTAGTCGTAGCAGTCATGGAACACGGCAAGTTGGGTCCAGCACCGAAAAACGCGCGGATGTTTGTCTGGGAAGCACTTTGCACAATGCTCACAGCAGTTAGGTGTTTCTTGCTCACAGCGTGACTGGAGACAGCAGCGATGCCCATATTGCTAAGCGAGAAAGTCTTCTGGCATGCTGCACAGTGAGCCTTACTTGTATCGTTCGGCACTGCTCTAATCCATGAGGCGTGCTAGGATATTTCCACGTTCACCCAATCAGGGTTAAACGAACACTTCTTCGCAAGAGGCATAGCAACTCACTGCATGCTCACGGCATCACAAGAAGAATGGCAATATGGCTGCAGCCCAGACATCTTGATATGTGGATTGGATTGGATTGGATCCGATCTGGATTACCATATTTGCTCTACTACTGTTTTCGTATCCCAGTCCAATTTACGCACCTGTAAACTACACATTTCAGTAAAAAAATAATTACGACTCGCATATTCTGTGCACCTTGCCCTCTGCTGATGGCACTTCCAGCCTAACCAGAAAACCCTCAAGCCGAGCCGAGATCGCGGCCAAGACAAACATGCACAATTTTATGCGCGTAACGTTGTACTCGGAAAGTAGAAGCGCCAGCTATGCACTGCTTTTTTTTAACTATGCTTCTGCTTAGCTGTTCTGTGTGGTTTAAGGAGCGATTTTTAAAGCTTTGATTAATGCTAATGAATATTTTCGTGACGATCTGAAAGACTACAGTCAGTTTCCATGACCTGGCCGGATTTTTCAGAATTTCCCTGACTTTTCCCTGACTTTTCCAGGTTTTCCAGGTTTTCCAGGTTGGTAGACACCCTGAGATTAAAAGCGTACTTCAGACATAAGGCGAGTTTCAAGAACCTGCTTTATCATGTCATAAGTGCACCTTACAAAAGGTGTGCTTAACTCGTCAAGTATAGTGCCTGAGAGCAAGGGTAGGTAAATTTTTTTCAACGAAATCATTACCTTGAGGAGCAGTAAATTAGTTTTACTGCATGGCACCAACAGACTGCACAAAAGCAGCCAAACATAAACAGCGAAAATTGGTGTTGAGGCACCCACAGCTTTCGTCGAAAGACACGTTTTTCGTTTCGCCACATTTCTTCAACCCTCATCGGCACAGTGAGGTCGTCAATTCGCTTTTGTTATTTCGTCTTATATGTTTTTGCTGTGTTCACTGGTGTTTCCGTGCTTGCTTCCGGATTTGTCACTTTCTTTGACTTTCTAAAAAATTTCACTTGATTTATTCATTTGTTTGAACAGTTCTTAAGTATATTTTTTTACGAAGTTGTATTTATAGTGCAACGATGCACTGAACTGAAATTTCCCGACAAAAAGTGCTACGTTTGTTGTTTCATTTCTTTCGTTCATTGTTTTTTTTTTTTCTTTGCGAGTAACGATAAACATGATGGAGGTTGAGAGAGTGACATGTTTATCGTTAGCCTGTAAAAAAAACAAAAATCCCCGCACTGGGTCGAATGTTGCCTGAAATTTCGTATCACATTTGCCCTGCAGCCACTTTTTTGTCGAAGTTTTTTTTTTCTTCTTTTATCAGCACCATTCTACCATCGCTTAACGTTCGGCGTAGTCACTGATAGCTTGTTCAAGCGACCTTTGTGAGCGAGCAATCTTTGATAATTTCTTAAACTTACATTTAAGGGCACTTAAAAGGCTGCACGTTAAGCGGCAATCACATGGTATTTTTTTAATTATGTGCACTTTAAACAAAGGCTGGAGAAAAATTAGGCAGCGCAGTTACCTTACCACAGATTAAAGATTTTATTACCTCGGGCTAAGCGATACGAGTTTTGTAGTGACAATTTTTTCACTAGAGACCCTATTTAAAATGTTCATAACTCTTTCGTTACCACGAGAAATTGGTTGTTTTTCATGTCTCGGGAAGATCGGTTTTTTTTTCCGGTTTGAAAAGCACTCCAACTCGCATTGCAGCATACGAAGCTTTGCACAATGGAATGCTCTTCCCAAAAAATATATGTTTTAGCACAACAAAAATATTTTAAAATGAATTGAAATGTGCAAAGTGTGGAATTTTTGGTGGCCAGCTGATAAACAGTGCTATAGAAACACTATATGTGTGAAAATATTCAAAACAAAGAAAATTCAGAATTTACACTTTGAAGATAAATGATCCAGGAACAGTAAAAAAATAATGAATGTTGAACAAAATGTTTCTCTTCACACAGACAAATAAAATCAGAACCAAGGTGCTGCTCCGTAAGCTCGTGCCATGCAGTAAAGCATTGCATGGTTTTTTAGTGAGACAAGTGTACTTGCACACTTTTCTCAGTAAATGTTTTTTGTCTTGTGATAAGATTCTCCAGGTGTTCCAATATATATGGATAGCCGTGATGTGCATAATCCCTCTATAAATGAGATGTGCAATGAACTTCGCTATTTCATCTAGCGTAACTTCTTTCCATGAGCCACCTCGCTCTGCATATAGGTTGGCGTTCCAATAAATGCATCCAAGCAAATTTTTTTTGCAATTTTGTGCATTTCACATTAAAAAAAGGGGAATATCATGCACAGTTACAAAATGCCTCGCACTGCTTCGTAGTCAGGGCCAAGATGTGCTCCAAAACCTTCATGTCGTTTAGAGAATCTCCGCAGCCAGTGGAAGCACACCACGCCCCAGCGAAGTCTGGACCACGCAAATGACCAGAGTAGCTATAAGATTGTGCACAAAAATGAGAACCTATACGCACTCGGGGCAAAGGAGACAACTTGGGGATGTAAACAAAAGAAACCCATGAATGGCTGCGGATGTTTGAGGCTGACGCAAAACAGCGTCCCCATAAAACTTCAAGCTGAAGTGCTGTCATCTTCGAACTCTGAGCTTGTACTCACTCAATTCAGGTGGAGTTGAAAGACGGTTTTGAGCAGTCCATGTGTTTTGCCGCACTAGGGCGCAACCATGCGGGCGTGATGACGATGTCATAGGAGTGACTAGTGACAAGTGACTTTAAACATGCGGTGGGCCTTTGTAAATATTTTTAAAAATTTTTTTTTACCATTAGGAACAGCTTTCTATTGAATAGCTGGCATACAATTCTGGTAATTAAACTGCTCAACATTTTTAAATTGTAAAGCTGACGCTTTAATTCAACATTTGGGATGCAAAAGTTCTTTTCATTACAGAACTTCGATGTAAGTATAGCATAATCACGAGGGGCACGCACTTCTGTTCAGTGCACTAGCCTACAGCCCTCTTCTAGCAACAAACACACATTGGTTCGCGCAAAGGTCTGTCAAAAGTCATAATGTGGCCGAAACGGGCAAATTCAAATTGATTCTGAAGTGCCTGGACTAACTACTAGAGAGTGCTGGGTACATGAGAAACAAATTCAATATGCCAAAATCAACGGTCCAAGAGCATCGACCACCGGTGATCGATTTGAATAGGCATGGTAAAGAAAGACTCAAGCAATTTTTGTCAAACGCCAAGCTTGGCAGACCGGAAAAAAATATTCTGCCGTCCTTCATATGGCTCAGAACAATACCGCGCCAATTCAAGACTCATAGCTCATGTATGTTTTTTTTTTATTACCTGGTGCTTTTTATCTGAAACACCCTGTATACACAGGAACTTCTGCAGACATCGATGTGCCTATCACTAGTTGCACAGAAGATCCATATTATCCTTAATGCAATTTTTTTCCAACTTGCAAGATAAAGCTATGCATTTTGCAGTTATTCTAGCATTTTGGTTTTTTGATTAGAATTAACAATGAGCAGCCATATCTAGGAGCAAAATGAAGAACTACCGCTAGGCAAAACAAACATTTGCTAATTTACTCAATAAATGAGAACACATCAAATGAAATAAAATATTCACTTACTGTTCACTTTTTATCCTCCATAATTAAACATTCAATATTTTCACACTTATTT